TTACAGTTAGCAGAGAATCCTGAAAGAAATGGGCCAGGCAACCCCTGCTTTTAACAGAATTGGTTTGAAGGAAAAATGGCTTGTTCTGAAAAATCTCAAGGTAATTAGGTTAGAATAAAATTCTCAAACTTCATTGTAGTGAGTTCTATTGTATGTTCACTTCTGAAGTGGTTGGTTGTTTCTGGGGAGGGCAGTCTTTGACCATAATCTAGGACTTCTTTTCCTTAARGCTTGAGAGATTTTTGAGAGTTAGACTTGGTTAATAAAGAAATGAGCTACTTTTTTTTTGTGTCAGAACAAATTCCTGAAAGCTTAGCMGACTGAAATACTGAGGGATAAGAGCTTTTGTGGTGGTGATGTTCTCCTTCTTTCTTGCTTCTCCAACCTCATGAGTCCATGTTAGTGATTTTTTCCCTCCCTTTTGTTGCGAAGAGCTAAAGTAAGATTCCATCAAAATCCCACTGGAATTCACCTTTGCCAGAGCTCCACTGGGTTTTCCTTTCTGCCAGCTAGTTTGAGGACAACCAGAAGTTACCTTACATCWTATTTTCAAAAAAGCCTCTGTTTTCATAATTTATGTAGTTGATAGAGGTAAGGAGTACAGTTGATATCACAGATTCTGATCACCAGTTGCCAAATTGATTCTGAAAATCCTGTTCTCTAAATAAGGCTAACTGTTGCCGGCTTGTGTAGTTAAACTGCAGATAAATAAATAGATCTAGAATTACTTCTGCATGTACTAATACTTCTCTAAATCGATATCCTAGAAAAGGATAGTTTCAATGTACGAGGATTGGAGTCTCTTCTAGTTCCTGTTGTGACCCGCAGTGTATCTTAAGTTCAAAACTGTTAGATTTTACTATGCTAAAAAACAAAAAGCAGTACAGCCACACAAATCTAGATACTCTATTATAGAGAAAATCCATGCTGGTATGGCTGTTTTCTTATACTAAGGAGGGTAAGTTAGAAAAGTACAAAACAACATCTACCTTATGCCTGGATTACCAACTGCTGTGATTGTTTCTACTACCAAAACTGCCTCTAACTGAAATGTGTACAGTTAGTAGAAAGCAACAAAAGAAACTGTTTAGAACAGGCATCAAATCTCCAGCTTGTAAAATAAAGCTCCCTCCCTCACAAAGCTTTGTGAGGCTTGATGTACTAAGAAATATCCAAGGCCCTTGGATGAAAGGCCATATATACATGTAAAGTACTGTGTATTTTATATATATATATATATGTATTGTGTGTATATGTATATAAGTGTATGTGTATGTATAACATATAAATATATGTTATATGTATATATATTTCTGTATATAACTTAAACATTTTAAGTCCTTTAATGTATAGCTAGACAAAAGTTATGCAGATAGCACAGTAGCTCACCATATATACACACACATTCTGATAAGCAGAGGGGATTTAGAATGCTATATGCTGTCATCATTGACTTGAAATATGTATGTAGCTTTATAAATAGCTTTTTTTCCTCTGTATGGTTTATTCAAACGATCAAGATTTTAATAAGAAAAATGTTTATTAAAATCATAAACCTCCTCTCCCTTTGACTTAAGCCCTTCTGTTAGTTCACTTAAAATGCGGTAGAGAAACTAGTTAAAGGAAAATTCTGTTATGTTTACACTTCAATCTAAATCCTTAGCTGTTCACCATTGCTGAAAGAGGAGATAAAGGTACCTACTAATGTTACGATCAGCTGCTAGAGTAGGTCCTAATCTGAATCTAGGAAAAACTGATACTTTAGTGCTAATTTCCATGACTATTTCTTGGCTTAAATTTCTTATCTAGCTGTATCCAACACAAAGTAAATCACTTGCTCTAGCTTTGGTAATTTTCCCGGAGTGAAAAATTGTATGGACTTGGCATCAAATGGTCTTTCCCACCTGTGTAGTTTGGAAGTGATTTTTCTTTCCAAAGTTAGTCATTTGGTCACTAGATAATAAGCAGTGATAAAGCTGTAAACTGGAAGACTTACGAATCCAAACCAATACCCTTGCGCAGCAGCATTCAGGAAGGCAGAGGAAAGGAAATTTTCCTCAACTTTTAAACATTTATATTTGTATGCAATTGTGCAGATATACAGACCTGCTATTTTTCAAAACTTCTGTGCACCTGAAGGGAAGTGTGTAGGGAGCAGGGCTGCACCTCGCTGTGGTAGCTGGTGTGCAGGTGGGAGAAGTTCCCCAGTCACCAATCTCCTCCTGTGTGGTTGCTTCTAAGGGAGAGCTGAAATTCAGCACAGTTCCTGGTCACCCTTAACACCATGTGAAAGATTGTTTGCTAGGTTTGTAATAACCTCCTCCTTTCTATGCTTACTGCTTTGCCCTAACTCCCTTTTTATAGTATCCCATAGCCTGTGGATCATGTCCTGTGTGCACCTGAAAATGCCATTCTGAGCTGCTTCTGTGTCCRTGCTTTTCGCTTCACCAATACTTGCATTCATCTGGGTTTCTCTTTGTAAGGCAAGCTATGGATACCTCGCTCAGTAGCTCTGATTCCCTTCCTCTTTTCAAGCTCTGCARGATTTGACCCTTTTTCTGAACTGTTCAGCTCTCTGTTTAGTAACAGGTCTGTTAAAATCAAATGGGAAATTCTGCAAGTCCAGATTAACAGGATCTCAGCACGTGTGGGGTTAGCTTATCCTGAAGTAGAACGAAGGTCCACACATTGAGATGTGTAGGTGAATGGATCATGAATGGGYGAAAGGTTCAGTGACCACCTTGAACTCAGTAGTGCTGGAAGTTTCCACAAGATCTCTGTGGGAAGAGAGGCTTCACAACTTAAATCAGGCTTCCYGAGGGAGCAGGCTTCACCACTTAAATCTGACCTCCATCACAGTGCAGTCATTGCCCATCAGGAYTTCTGGCATCAGCAGGAGCTCCAGTGGGTCCTTTGCTAGCTGGAAATTGCTTTTGCAGTTTGCATTTGCAGCTGTTTCAGATCTACTGCATTGAGAAGCATGGAGAGCTTTTAATTTTCATAAAGGATTTTTTGTGGAGTTGCCTAAGAGGATTAACTTAAGGTCTTGTTTGAAACACAGTCCTTTGAGAGACTATTTTCATGCTTTCTCACTGGCTTCACAAAGGTATTTTCTGTCTATTACCACCACAAACTATTGTCATAGTAATAGACTGTTTAGTGTAACAAGAGGCAGTTGGTTGCTCCCAGTGCTTCAGGACTTTTCCATAATGGTGAAACTTCAGTACCCCTTTGTCCAGTGGCAATGGCAGCTAATACAAACGCATTCAAGCATATGAATACTGTAGTGACATGAACCTACTGGACAAAGGCTTGTTGCCACAACCTATGGTAAGGTTTCTCTGCAAGACTGCAAGGAGACRTAAGGAAATTTTATGCTTTAGACATCCGACAGTGAACAGTGATAAGCCAAAAAGTAGATTTCACTTTAATTTATAAATGAAAACAATTTACCTGAGATGGCATTATCATACACAAATTTAGACTTATAACCTATTTTTAAAAGGCAGCTTAGTATTCCCTCAAAAAATAACACGTTTTKAGGGAGGGAGGAAAGAGTTATTACAGCTAAAGAAGTGATGACTACACTTGTCAGAACAGGACAGCTGCCGCGGCAAGAAGAAACTGAGGGAGGAACTCACCTACTACCTGTCAGGGAGCTTGTTCTAAAAAGGACATTGTAGGTACAACTGAGTAATATGAAATCTTACAAAATTGTGTATAATGCTATATTTCATTTGTATGTRCTTATCGGTATTTCAGTTTTGTGTACATGGTTTAATTAATTTCTATGAAACAAAGCTAACAGAAGTTGGCAGTTTTTTTGTGGAGGAGCAAGAACCCCCTATGCTGTTTGGTTAATCCTTGAGATGTATTTCCTTTCCAGTATTTTTCTTTATGTATATCCACAGGCACTATGTAAGTAGATGTTTGCTGTGCATTGGTAAAAGGACAGGTGTTTAAGAAGGTATGTCCAAATACTTAAATAATTTTCTATTGCTAATATATTAATTTGTGGTCGTTCTTAATCCCTGTCAGGACACAGCATTTCCTTATTACGGAATTCTGAAACAGCAGCCAGGACAATCAGATTTGAAGGCTAARACAACTGGTAGGCAAGGTGATGTCATTTAATACAGACTGCTGCATGTTGGTTTTGGCCCAAAACTCATCCATGTCCCCCTTAAGCCACAGCACACTTTGTATTACACACCTCAGTAGAATTTGTCTGTAAAAGGGTCAATTTGGTTTGCTGTTCATCAATCAGCGTCCCTCTAATTGCTCTCGACAAAAAGCTGGAATCCCTGGTAGTCCATGTGCTCGTTATGAGTGGATCTGTTGTTGGACATGAACATTAAGCAACTTGTCTAGGTATCTCTGGGAAGTAAAGTATCTCTCAGAACAGAACTCAGGTAACAGAAAGATGTTAGTATGAAACCATCTTTTCTCATTTACTGTTTGTGTTCCTGCTGTTCTTTTCAGTAACTTGCTGCTCAGGCACGTGWTTCTGCTCCTCAGAAAACTCCAAGAAAAACAAAGCTCTTCTTGCGCTTAGTCAGCCGTGCTACACAGATCTCACCACTGAATTTTTTTTACTGCCTGCCCTGGTGAGCGTCTCTCACAAGGCATAAAAAAAAAACAAACCAAAAACCCGCAGGAAACAGATGCAGTCGAGAGGAGCCCAGCGAGCCTGACTGCGAACGTCCCCTGCTTGGGAATGGAGAGAGGGGAGGTCTCAGTCACTGCGGCAGCCAGGTGCCTTTAAAAGAAAATACCCAAAATTCTYTAGGCCCGACGAATTCTTAAAGCAACACCGAAAGTTACCGTTCTGGAAAGGGGACACAGGAGTCTTTCGAAGCTCTCTCTSCTTTCAAGAAGGGAGAGAAACAAATGTCAATCGTACGTTCACTGACATGCCCTTAGCCAGCKCCTCCAAGCGCTGCAACCCTGTGTTTGTTATGCAATTACCGAGTYCTGCCCGGGGGAGGAGCGGCCTTGGCCGAGGCCATTCCCCCTTGCCGCCGCCCCTCGCGGTCCAGTCCCGCCGGCCATGGGCGAGCGCCGGGGGCCGGGGGCGCTGCAGGAGGCGGCGGGCCCGGAGCGGGTAAGGCCGGGCCGGGCGGGGAGCGGGAGCGGGGCCGGGGCGAGCGGCGGCTCCGGGCAGCGCAGCGCTACTCGGCCGGGCCCCGCGGCCTCCCCACCGCCGGGCGCTGCGCTGCGCTGCCTCTCCGCCGGGCCGGGCCGTGCCGCGCCGCCTCGGGGGACCGCGGGCACCGGGGATCTGCTGCTTCGGACAGCCCTGGAAAGGGCACGGGCCCATCCCCCGCGCCCTTATCCCGCCCGGGCTCGGCTGGGCCGGACCGCTCGGGCACCGCGGCGCCGGGGAGCGCCGGCAGCACCTGCGGGGGATGCGGAGCCCGGCCCGGATCSGGAGCGCCGGCAGCAYCTGCGGGGSATGTGGGCCTCCGAGCGGCGGCTGCGGGCTGCTTGGCACGGGGTCAGGGCAGCGCCGGCCCTGTCGCCCCGGGATTCTGGGCTTGCAGAGCTGCTCCTGCCGGGCCGGGGAGGTAGAACTGTGCCCCGAGCTGCCGTGGAGGCAGGTGTGGGTRTTGGTGATGTTCCTGGCTTCCCAGGCCCTGAGGACGAGGAGAGTGTGYCCCTGGGAGGCCTCTGAGCTACCTTCTGGTGTCTCCCCCATAAAACCACGCTAAGCCAGCATGAGGTGTGTGAGGAGAAAATGATCTTCATGGCAGGGAAACCCACGTAGTCTTTCTGAACTCTTGTGTCTTAACAGTATTCAAGTATCCAAAACCAGGTGTGCCATGTTAAATACAAGTTTGAGAAGCCCCTTACTGTTTCCCCCTTAGGGGGTGACACAGTGCCATGCTGTCGTTGTGTCACCCATAGTGAAGAGGYGCATGGTAGTCAGTCCTGTGTGTCTCCTCAGGCATGTGGAAGCAGCAGGTGTTGTGCCCCTCAGATGCTGTGCAGTACAAGCCATCTCTCCCMGGAGCGCTGGTGGCCTTCCCAGTGTCACTGCTGGCATGGTCTGTGCTGCCCAGGGCTGGCCTGAATGCTTTGGGAGCTCGTGGGTTGCATGTGCAGCATCTTACTGGGGTGCGTGAGGGTTCATGGTTATAGACCATCGAGTGGTATGTGCCACATCACAGTGCTGCCTCTGACAGCACCTTTAGCTTTTTCCCTGGCTGCAGCTGATGTGGGGCATATATCTGTGATACTTGCATAGGTAGCCCAGCAGCTGTGGGGTGATGGTTGTTTATGTGTATATATGTTAATTATTTCCTAGTTTGCTGGATTTGGAATTAATGGAAGGAGTTTCAGTACCCTTAAGCAATCTTGTCCATTTGGTTTACTGTCATCACCAGAAGAGCTTGTCTCGAGCMGTTGCAGAATAACTGGGATATGATGTACTAAAGTGTGTCCAGCAAAGGGCTGATGATCAAGAGACTGCAGCATCTGCCATATAAAGACAGGCTGTGAGTGCTGGGACTGTTCAGCATGGAGAAGACTCCAGGGGACCTCATGAGTGTGTGTAAATATCTTGAAGAGGGAATAAAAGGGACAGAGCCAGGCTCTTCTCAGTGATGCCCCATGGTGGGTCTAGGGGCATTGATCACACACTGAAGCACAAGAGGTTGCATTTACTTGTAAGAAAACACTCGATTTTCTTGAAGATGGTTAGATGCTGGCACAGCTTGCTCACAGAGGTTCTGTAGTGTCCATCCTTGTCTGGATGCCGCCCTGGGCAGTCTGCTCTGGTTGACCCAGCTGGAGCAAGAGTTGGCCTGTGCTCACCAGCTTCAGCTCTTTTATGCATTTGGATCATGTTACCTGAACAGAATGAAGCATATACACATTATAAACTGGGTGCCCTTTGTCATTATGGTGAATGTTGACTGTTTTATGCACTATCATAATACTAAGAAAAAGATCTGGGGTGCAGATTGAAGGTAGTGCTGACCTGGTGATTGTTACCTTCTGCCCCTCATTCCTCTGCCAGTGCTTCCTGGATTCAGGAAGGCAAGGCAGGAATGCATTGTGCTCCTTCAGCACAAGGCGGTGGCTGCTMAGAAGCCTCAGCAGTGATAGAATATGCCATGCTCTTGAAATTGAGTTAGAGAAGATGGGATTGTCTTGTAGTCAGTAGCTGTGTGCCAACTTGGAGTCTGCCTGTGGAAGACACCTTTCACAAGAGTCCACCTGTGAAACTCCTCTCTCCACCCCTGGAGGTGATAAGGGAGATGGGATGTAGGTTGAGCAGGAGGGTCCAGTATGGTGTAGTCTCTGTGACTGACCTTTCCTTTTTTAAAACTGAAAAAAAAAATCACAACAAGCAAAATAATATATTTAAAAAAAAAGTACAGTTTTTAAAACTTCAGGCTGGTCAGTCTCACCTGAATCTCTGGAAARATGATGGAATGGCTCCTCCTGCAGTTCATCTGTAAGCACATGAAAGACAAGACCGTCATCAGGAGTAGTCACTGTGGATTCACCAAAGGGGAACTTGTGCTTAACCAATCTGATTACCTTTTGTGATGGAACAATTGGCTGAATAGAGAAGGGAGAGCACTGGATTTTGTCTGCATGGGCTTTAGCCAGGCTTCTGCCATTGTCTTCCATTATATGCTCATAGGCAAGCTGAGAAAGCATGGACTGGATGAGTGGACGGTGAGGTGGATTGAGCAGTGGCTGATGGCAGAGTTTGAAGGGTTGTGGTTGGCATCACAGGATCTAGTTGCAGGCCTGTCACTGGTGGTGTCCCCCAGGGTTCACTGCTGGGCCCAGTATTATTTAAGTTTTCCATCAATTACATGGATGAAGGAGCAGATGCCTTCTCAGCAAGTTCACTGATGACACAAATCTGGGAAGAGTGGCTGATACCTCCAAGGGCTGTGCAGCCCTTCAGAAAGAACCTTGACAGATCGGAGAGATGGGCAGAGAGGAACCATCTGAAATTCAACAAAGGCAGTGCAGGGTTCTGCTCCTGGGGAAGAATAACCCCAGACATCAGTACAGGATGGGGGCTGATCTGCTGGAAAGCAGCTCTGCTGAGAAGGCCCTGAGGATCCTGGAGGACAATAAACTATCCATGAACCAGCAGTGTCTGGGCCAACAGGGAAGACTTGCAGTGTTTCCATTTTCAAGGAGGATGGCTCATGCAGAAGGAGATAGAGATGTTGGCTGTGTGGCAGGCSCTGAGAAATTGTGTGCTAAGACAAGGTGGCAAACCTGCCAAGCCCAAATTTTCCGAATACCAGTGAATATCAACTTCCCAATGTTGTGGGAAGTAAAAGAGGTCTTGCATTCTCATGGCCTTCAGCAGAGACTCTGCAAGATGGTGATGGGAAATCTGTCTCATGAAATTGAATGATATTTAAAAATGCAATAAAATGGTAAAATAATAACCCAGAATAAATCCCTCTGCTTCTCTGGTATGTTTTCATTGGGCATCTGCAGTACCCATGCCAGCTATGCGATGTGCATGTGTGTTTGTGTTTTGTTTGTTCTTTAAAATGTGAGTGGCATTATTTGTCTGAAGATACTTTCCAAATTGAAGTAAGGGAATGCTTTTTATTAAGTGAGTAGTTACAAGGAGATTGGGTAGGAAAAGGACTTTGGCACCTCCAGGAAGCCAAAAATAATGATGTTCAAAACCTTCAGCTCGCCTTCCCTGCTGTATTACATGCAACACCTCGTTGTGTGCCTGTGGTTGGTTATCCTCTACAGCAGTGTCAATGGAATTTCAGAACCAGCCCAGAAAGGTGTCCTGCTGGCTGAACTTCTGATCAGTGTTGCAGAGGCTGCAGCGTGCTGTCCTGACAGCTCTTCACAGTAGTTGCTTCCARTAGGTTCTTGGTGACATACATGTCTGCAGGTCATTGCCTGGCATTGATCCTGGGAGCAGATGTCCCCAGCTGGAGGTGGGTGAAGGCACTGCTCAGAGTGCCCTCTCTGCTAGTTTTCACTGGCCTGTGTCCTAAATGTCAGCTGTCCCCACCTGGGCTGGGCTGGGAGCTCTCTGAGGAAGAGCTGTGCACAGATGTCCTCTGGGAGCCCACACAGAAGGATTAGGGTAGAGATGGRTGACTCCAGGCAGAAGCTTTCCTGCTGCCAGCTGCTGGGAAGAGGCACCTTAGTCCTCGAGGGAGAGCCTCCAGAGCATCCTCCAGTCCTGTGTCAGTGTGTGGCTATTGGAGATTGCATGCCCAAACCTCCGTGCTGACATTCCCTGTGGCACAGGCTGTCCTCTATCAATTGGGATTAGTGGCTGTGATCTCATGGCTTTCTTAAGACAGTCTATCCAGGCCCGAGTGGCTGTATGTAAAGCAAACGGCTGGGAGGTAGCTGGGCATGCTGGGTGCAGGCTGCAGCCCTGTGCCCTGACCTCACACGGGACCTCTCCTATGTGTGGTACCACAGAGGCTGAGGGCTCCCAGGCAGATTTCCTCCTGGTGCTGCACAAGGCTTTGTCTTTGGCACCCAGGTGTGGGCGCTTCCTGGCGCTGGCACAGCTGGGAGGGGGTGGTTGGTGTGAGCTGTGCTGGTAGAGCCGGGGCAGGCAGCACTGCCGGGAGCACAGATGGAGGGTGAGGGGACACGGACCCCAGGGGGACAGGTGAGTGTCTGTGTGACAYGGGGGAACTTTAAACCATGCCTTTGGGATATTGTGAAGAGGAGAAATAAAGAATGGTAACTTTAACCAGAACCGTGCTTTATTTTCAGAGCTCATCGAGTGCTGCTGAAAATGGCTCAGACCTTGATGAGGAGCCTCTTCTTAGAAAAAATCACCGCCGGTTTGTCATYTTCCCCATCCAGTACCCAGACATATGGAAGATGTATAAGCAGGCCCAGGCCTCCTTTTGGACAGCAGAAGAGGTGAGCCTATGGCCAGTGGGTTGGCAGAGCTACTCAGATCACTGCAGTTCTGGCACTTCTTTCCCAGCTCTGTTGCTGCTTCTGTGTTGCTAAGGTGGAGTTAATTGCATCAAACGTGAGGTGCCAGCACCAAAACAGAGCTCCTTTCATCGACTGTGGAAAGCAAGCTGCTTCCACAGGGTGATTCAGCAGAGCTGTTTTAGATGCTTAGTTTAGGATGAGGTGGATTTGTGTCTGGGGTTTTTTGGTTCATGAGAAATCCTAAGTCAGCTCTGATTTGTGTTCAGATAGCTCCTACCCCGCAGTGGTCTCTTAACCTGCAACTAACTCCTTTCCCGTGTAAGATGCTGTGGGTAATTTCATGCTCTTTAATATTAGGTACCTCAGTTTCCAGAGAGATGGTGTTAATCAGGGACACYTGTTAAAAATGCATTTAGCTGATTTCTGATTGCCCTGGTGAGGTGCTTGCCCCATGTTGGAATGCAAGCTCTAAGTTCTTTCCAGGGTTGCTGGCTAGSGAGACCTGAGCAGTGCTCTCTATGCTTGCAGCAGTGCAGGCCTTTGAACACTGCACTGCTTTGGAGAGATCAACTGCCAGGGGAGCTGCTTGTTCCAACTCAAAGCTTAGGCACCCTTTGCTTGTTCGTGTGCAGTGTCTGCAACTGCAGAGGAGTGAGATGAAAGCACTGGCAGGCTCTAAATAGACCAGAAAGCATCATGGGCTCATGAGGAGCAGCTGTTTGTGGAGATGGGATTTCATTGTCTGCYGGGAAGGCTTGCTGCCTTGTTGCAGCAGAGCTTCATTTAAACCATTAAAGAAAAAGCATTTCAACTCTTATGTTATCAGCATTTCTCTTCTACTACGTTACTGGTTCCTTCTCACACTGTCCACATCTGTGGATCTTCTGCATTTTCCACTCCTTAAGTGCTGCTATGGTTCAGAAATCCTACAAACAAACAGACAGAAAAGGTACATGTGAAGGAAGCTGTGGTTTTCTTTCACGGCTAGGGTTTGGTCTGATAGACAAGAGCAGTTGCACAGCATTTGCTCCAGCCATTCTTTGACAGGATGGAGGCTGAACACCTGCCAAAGGCAAAAGTCCCCTCAGTCCATCTTTTGACATGCTTGGGTGTAGCTTTCTTGGAGTATCAATATTTATTTCAAGTAAAGTTTAGGTGTCTCAGAGTGAGCTCTGGTTACTGGTACATGTTCATATTTCTGGCAAAAAGATAMTAAAGCTTTTCAAAATCTCATTTATTGAGTAGACTCTGATTTTTATTCCAAATTACACAAATGTAAACTGTGAAACAAGTACGTGATGTTACTGTTGCAGARAGAGACAACAGTACTGCAGTGTATCTGTTGTCTTTTACAATCATAAGTATTTAAATTCTCTACATGTAAAGATTTGAAAGCAGATGTCAAACCTCTGCCTCAGACACATAATTGGGCYGCATCTGTTCTTACAGAATGATAAACGCAGAAGGACTGTAATGTTTTTCTTTTTTCTTTTCATTAGGTTGATTTGTCCAAGGACCTTCCTCACTGGAACAAGCTGAAAGCAGATGAAAAGTACTTTATCTCTCAYGTTCTGGCATTTTTTGCAGCCAGTGATGGAATTGTAAATGAAAATCTGGTGAGAAAGACTTACAGAGGGCTTGAATACTTAGTCATGTTACTGTCTTATTGACTTTCCATTTTGGCTTTTTCACATTAATGCATAGGTTTATTAAATATGTACTTTTCTTTCATTCTATCTTTGCCAAGTGCAACAAGCAGCTTGTTCTTCTGGGATCAGTGTTTGAGTTAAATTGGGTCAGCTGTGGTCATCAGTACTCAAAACCACATCACTCTCAGACACTGTCTTTAAGTTTAGCCCCTGCTTGGCTGTGGGATGTGCATTTCTGAATGRATTAATAAAATCCCAGATTTTTCCTGTGTTCATGTTAARTGAGAAGTAGGGAATACAGACCATSRCTGTGCCATGTATTMCTCATTTTGGTAAAATCTGTTTTGTTCTCACTGAATGGTATCCTAGAATCTCTTAAGGCTGCAGGTGGGTGCTGCTAAAAACATGGGAAATTCTTCCTGTTGAGACTTGTTTTGGRCTGGAAAATACCACAGGTTAGCAGTGGTATCTGTCTGCAAATGCYCAATTTAAATCTCAAATATCTGAATGTTTATAACATGTAGAATTTATGTGCACGTATTGCATCAACATGCTGTATGTTAAGCTGTTTATATTTTTAATTATGAACAGGAAGTCTGAGGCTTTGTTCAGTRTCAAGTGTTTAGTATTGCATTATTTTGCTGTTCTTCTCCTGTGTCCATGTGCCCTCATGCTTCAGCTCTTACCCAATATACACAACAGATGTATGTACTTTGAGCTAGCTTGCTTTATTTTCCTCTGCAGCACAGCTATCCTGCTGACATGCCTGTGAACAAAGTAGAACTGAACTGCTCTCAGCCTGTCTCTATAGCAGAGATCTCTTGTCTCTCCTGTTAAGTTCAGGTAGTATTTATTGTATTCATTACCATGCTTTTTCGTTTTGGTAGGTGGCACGTTTTAGTCAGGAAGTGCAGATCCCAGAAGCTCGTTGTTTCTATGGCTTTCAGATTCTCATTGAGAATGTTCACTCAGAGATGTACAGCTTGCTCATAGACACCTACATCAAAGATCCCAAGAAAAGGTAAATCTCTGGATGTGTTACTAACCTGGGAAATCYGTCACAGAGGCCAGTGGCACGGTTGTAGGGCAACAGCAGCAGCTGTCTCCTGTTTCATACGGATTTTCTGGGGGAGTTGGGGAASGTTTCTTAAAATTTACAAGGCCTGCATGCCTGACCCCCAAAATGGACAGAAGTAAGACTGACCAAGGCTTTTGTGGGAGTATCAGAAGGTTAATTAGTATTTGTATAAATCATTCATTTATCTGAAAGTGTGGACTATGTGAAATGCTAAAGGTTAGATGAGCTCCTGGAGGATACCGTGCTCCTGCAATGCTTGTTCTTACATCCTGCTTGCTGGTGGGATGGGCTTAGAAGCTGAGGAGTCCTTGACTTGGTGTAAACTCTGCTTAGCAACAACTAAAACATCAGTGTGTTATCAACATAATTCTCATTCTAAATATAAAACATAGCACTGTACAAGCTACTAGGAAAAAAATTAACTCTGTCCCAGACAAAGCCAAGACAGATCATCACCTCTTTGGGGTGGGAATGGTCTCTTGAGTTAGTTCACAGCCTTGGGTAATGGGATCCTCTGGTGGAGCTGGAAGGGACAACCAGGGCAGATTTACATAACTCACTATTATGATGWTTTGTCTCTGTTTCCTTTTATAGGGATTTCTTATTTAATGCTATTGAAACAATGCCTTGTGTCAAGAAGAAAGCAGATTGGGCTCTGAAGTGGATTGAAGACCAAGAATCCACTTTTGGTGTGTAGCTTTTTAAAGACATGTTTCTGTTGCATATCATGAACTGATCTTCTGTTAGTAAGCTGCACCCCTGGAACATGAAATGAAATTCTCCACAGATGTAGGGGCTTCTGGGTCTCTGGCTTAATTAAAGAACCAGAAGTAACTTCTGGTGAGCATGTATGTTTTTATCTTCAGCTAGAGAAACACAGTAATGGCAGTGCCCCTGAAATCATGTTATGAAAAATGTCTGTAGATTTCTGTCTTTTTTTTTGTCTTTATACTGAACAACCCTGGTCTCCTCTGTTTTTGCTTGTAGACCTTATTGTCTAGTTTTGATAATTTCTTTCAGTTGGTTCTTGTTTTGTACTCAGTGTTCAGAACTGGGCAGCTGAATTCTTATAATTCCAGGAATTTTCTGTATTCGTATTCATATGCACATATCCATGGGTTTTTTTGTTACTGAGGCATGACTGAGCCTGGATGAAAAAGATTGAAGAACCATCTGTTTCTGGTGTTTCTGGTTTGCTGTTGGGGCCAGGTTTCAAGTTTTTGAATCTCATTTCAGAGCTGGGGCCCGGTCTCCATCAGCATGGTGCAGGGCTTTACAGCGTTCTACATTCAGCTTACAGTGTTGAGTCTGAAGGGTGTGTTGTAGCTGAAATGCATAATGGGTGCATTCTGGTGAATTTTTTAAAGCAAACATYCACCATATTTTGAGAAAATGTGGGAGATGGAGAGATTCAGCCTGGTGAACAAAATAAATCTCAACATSACTCTTTTGCAGCATCTGTTCACAACTCTTGTTTGAGAGAGGCTCTTTTTTGTAGCTCTATATTGTTCTGTCTTGGAATTTCCACTGCCTCCCCAGTCTGGCTTTGCTTGCTGTGTGTGGARCTCCTTCATCATCCCTTTGTTTGGCTCCCCAGCAGTGTGGGGTGTGCAAGGAATCAGAAGGTTCCCTTACTGAAAAAGCAGTGTATTCTCTGCTCTCTGCCCCCAAATTTCATGCATTTTATCTAAATATGTGATCAGTCTTGTGCTTCATTAAACCAATATTGTATGAGCGGCCTTTCTCCATTACACTGTAGAAGTAACCTATGAGATTTTTAGTGTTGCTAGAAAAATTTTTTTTTAGTAACTTCTGTGATAYTTTTACATTGGTATTTCTCCCTGTGCTCTTTTCCTAATTAGAATTGCTTCAGATGGGACAGTRGTTGGCATTTGTATCTCAGAGGAAGTGGGACATATGGCTATTTTGGGTTATTTTATTTTTTAAACAAACTTCTGTGCAGTTCTTATTGGGAGAAGACACCAGAACTTAGTGCAAAAGCACTTACGTTAGGACATACACAATGAGCTTGTGAAGCTGTYTGAAGGTGTGTACATGGAATGATGTGGTCTCACTAAACAGTCAGGTCTTGTAGTCTGAAGAAATATATTCATGTAGAGAACAGGGAAAACTGGGACCAATTATGGCCTGCTTTCCTTGGATAAAAGGTGGGATAACRCAAACAGTTATTTTTGTCTTGACTTCTGTAGTCTGCTGTAGACTACTTCTGTAGTCTTTTGCTCKTGTAAGAATATGGTTTTATGTTTTATCTTCCCAACAGGAAGAAATTGGGGGGTAGGGTTTTGTGTTTAATTTATAAGAGATTGGCTTTTCTCTGTTTTGTTAGTTACACAGCTATTTTCGTGCTATTCGGGAGAAGGAGATAATGGAGTACTAATGTCTTGGCCATTTTGGACAATTACATTCTTTTGCTTCTGACCTGAGGCAGTTTCAGTGGGTGCCCTGTTCTCCAGTTCTGCTCGGGTTGCTTGTGGCTGAGTGCTGTGGGGTGGGTAGACCCTCTGTGCCTTGGGATCTGCAGAAGGATGTGGTCAAAGACAGCATCTGGTRCTGCAAAGGGGAGTGCTCCTCTCCAGCACCACTCTGTCTGATGAAATGGTGCATCTTGATCATCAGCAACACAGTCATTTGTGTCTAATGAAAAATGTGTTATGTTRAACAGGTGAGAGAGTGGTTGCCTTTGCTGCAGTGGAAGGCATCTTTTTTTCGGGTTCCTTTGCTGCTATATTTTGGCTGAAGAAGAGRGGCCTGATGCCTGGACTGACTTTCTCCAATGAACTTATTAGCAGAGATGAGGTAATGTGGCATGTCCTATACATGGTTTGGGAAGAAAAGTGAGTTTCCAGGGGAAGGGCAGAATTATGCTYATGAAGAACACATAGTCTTGACAGMGATGGGASAAAGAAGCAGACTTTTACCAATAATTATAGAATCGTGTAGGTTGGAAAAGACCTTGAAGATCACTGAATCAAACTGCCAATTCCACCACTAAACTGTGTCCCTAAGTGCCACATCCACACATCTTTTAAATACTTTCAGGGATGGTGACTCAACTGCTTCCCTGGACAGCCTGTTCTCATGCTTGACAGCAATTTCTATGAAGGAGTTTTTTTTATAGTATCCAATCTAATCYSCTGCTTGATGCAACTKRAGGCCATTTCCTCKTGTCCTGTTGCTTGTTGCTTGGGAGAAGAGGTTGACCCCCACCTCACGACAGCCTTCTCTCAGGCAGTTGTAGAGAGTGATGAAGTCTCCCCTGAGCTTCTTTTTGTCCAGCTACAGCAACACAGCTCCCTCACCCAATCCTCATAACACTGGTGCTCCAGACCCTTCACCAGCTCCATTGCCCTTCCCCGGACATGCTCCAGGACCTCAATGTCTTTCTTGTAGTGAAGGACCCAAAACTGAACACAGGATTGAAGATACGACCTTGCCAGTTCCTCATATTATATCTGATCACTGCCCTGATCCTGCTGGCTGCACTATTCCTGATCATTGGGCATCTTGGCCGTCTGGGTGCATGCTGGCTCAAGTTCAGCCATTGTCAACCAGCACCTCCAGGTTCATTTCCACCGGGCTGCTTTTCCAGCCACTCTGCCCCAAATCTCTAGCATTGCACGGGGTTGTTGTGGCACAAGTGCAAGACCCGGCATTTGGCCTTGTTGAAGCTCACACCGTTGTCTGCAGTCCATTGATCCAGCCTGTCCAGATCCCTCTGCCTTTCTACCCTCCAGCAGATCAATACTCCCACCAAACTTGGTGTCTTCTGCAAACTGACTGAGGGTGCACTCAATCCACGTTTCCAGGTCATTGATAAAGAYATTAAACAGGACTGGCCACTGGGGCCAGTAACATATACATAGCATATGTAACATAACATAACATAACAGCCCTGGGGAGCTTCACCTGTGGGTGACTACCAGTTGGATTTAACTCTCACCACTTTTTTGGCCTGGCCATCYAGCCAGTTTTCTACCCAGCAAACAGCACTAATAAACTTAAAAGCTTGGGAGCCACTGTGTCCCTCAGCAGAAATACTTGTTTTTCAAGGGAGTAAACATAAATATTGGTGAGCCAGCTGTGGTTTAACCCCAGCCAACCCCAATCAAGCCCCATGCAGCTGCTCACTCCTCCACTAGTAGGATTGGGGTGAGAATCAGATAGATAGAAAACTTGTGGGTTGAGATTAAAACAGTTTAATAGGAAAAGCAAAAGTCATGCACACCAGGAAATCAAAACAAGGAATGAATTCACTGCATCCCATGGCAGGCAGGTATTCAGCCATCTCCAGGAGAGCAGGGCCCCATCAGGTGCTAYGGTGACTTGGGAAGACAAATGGCATCACTCCAAATGTCCCACTCTTCCTCCTTCTTCCTCCACTTTATTTACTGAATATTATGTTACATGGTGTGGAAAATCTCTTTGGTCAGTTTGGGTCACCTGTCCCAACTCAGGACAGATGTGTCTTCTCCCAACCTTCCACACACMCCCAACTTCCTCACCAGTGTGGCAGTACAAGAAGCAGRAAAGGCCTTGGCTCTKTGTAAGCCCTGCTCAGCAACAGCAAAAACATCTCTGTATTATCACCCTGTGTTCAGCACAAATCCAAAACACAGCCCCATATCAGCYRCCTTGAAGAAAACCAACTACCCAAAACCAGCATACCAGCCAAAACCAGGAGGACACTAGTGTGTATAATACATCAAAAATACGGATTTTTAGATTGAAGGACGTGTGTTTTCCTGTGCTGTGAAGGGAGGCAAAGACCCAGCTGCCCAAGGAATGGGGTGGAATTATGTGGTCCCCAGCTGCAGGGGGTTCTGGCTGGAGCAAGGATCTGGATAGTGTGTGACTGTGAAGCTTGCTGTGCCTCAGCTGCTTCAGGCAGGTTTAATTGGGCCCCAGGTACCACTCCCCACCTGTCCCTAGTTGTGGGACCCAGAGCTTGTCCACAGTCACCTGTCTCCATCACAGAGCCATTTGTGGCAGGTTGCTGCAGAAGCAGCAGCTATCACTCCTCTTCAGAGCACAGCAATAGAATCTCCTGGTAGAGGGCAACTACAGATCTGCCTTTGAGGAAAGTGCTTCTTAAATTAAGATGTGAAGTGTTTGAGGGGCTTCGTGTCAGCACTCCCAATGTGACAGGCCATGTTCTTACAAGTGCTTCCTTCCTTCCTTTTTCCTTACTCCCTGCAAGTTGGCAGTTGTTTTTTATGGCTGGGAACTGTACACTGCACTACTTACGTCACTGTCAGCACTGAAAAAGTAGAAAGACCAGTTTTGTATGCTGTATAAACATTCTAGTGGTTGTAACTCACCAGAGTTGGTCTTAAAGTATAAAGAGCTTTTTCATAATGGAAGTAATTTTCATGAGTTAGATAAACTACTTTGAAATGAGACATCTTACAATATGTCTTTTAAAGACACTTTTGAAGAAAGTGATATGATCAGCAAGAAAATACAAAAAGTTCTTCAGCTTTGACCTTCCTTATGTCTTYTGTGAGTCATTATGAACTGATCCATTTGAGCAAGGAAGGAATTGTTACAAGGATCACTTGCAGATGAATGAGTGTAACTATTTCTCTGCAGAGTAGAGCACCAAAAGACGAAAATTTCCTTGAGCTCTGCTGGCATAATTCCAGCTGTAGTGCTGTTACAAAGGTTAAAGCTTGGTGCACAGAGCACCTGCATTAAAACCCAGTGGCAGTAAAAAGAATCCACAATGGAAAACTACCAACTGCTTTTTCATGCACCTGAAGAGATAAATGATTAACACTCAGTGTGTTTTTTGAGCTGCAGGCTCTGTGCCCAGGCTATTCTTGAGCTGGTACATCTCTGATGCTTAAAGGTGCAAGGCTGGTGGGAGCACCCATCAGCGGAGTACACTGGTTCATGGCTGAAGCCAGGCACATCCTGCATCCTGCTGSTGATGTTGCCCTGGATAAAACCATGGGCAGCCTTGCAGCAAGCAGCCAATGCTGTCGCTAGATGGGAGAATATTTCCCAAATTACACTTTTTCAGGGCTGTTTCATGACCTGAATCACAAGGATTTTATAGCCTTTCCAAAAATGTTTTAAAAGAACCACAGAATTGTTAGGGTTGGAAGGGTCTTCTGGAGGTCATCCAGTCCAACCCCCTGCCAAACAGGGTCACCTGGAGCAGGTGTCACAGGAACATGTCCAGGTGGGTTTGGAATGTCTCCAGAGAGGGAGATTCCTCAGTCTCCCTGGGCAGTGTGTTCCAGTGCTCTGGTACYGCCTCCAAAGTAAAGAAGTTCTTCCTCATGCTGAGCTGAAACTTACTGTGTTTTAGTTTACAGCCATGGCTCCTCGTCCTGTCACTGGGCACTACKGAAAAGAAGCCTGGCACYGTCCTCTTGGCACCCMCCTGTCCTGGTTTCAGCCAAAGATAGGGTTAATTTTTTGCAGTAGCTSTGCGTGGGTAGAGCCTGGAGCTGTGTGGGCATGGCTGAGACCCTGATGTTGTTGGGCACCATCTCAGGTCATTGACAGSGGTGGGGAAAAGGGATTCCCTCTCCTGCTTTTGAGAAGGCCGTTCCTTCCAGTGGTAGAAAACATAATTGGGAAGAACAGGTGGTTCTGCCTGAAAATAAGAGCAAACTATATGGAGGAGGGGAAAACTGACTGTTACTTCATTGTTCTCTTATTTCAGGGTCTACACTGTGATTTTGCTTGTCTAATGTTCCGTTATTTAGTGAACAAACCATCAGAAGAGCGAGTCCGTGAGATCATCATCAATGCTGTAGAAATTGAGCAGGTAATCCTGACTGTGACAACATTGTGGGCAGCGCAGKTCCAGTCTGGTGTGTGAAAATAAACAAATTGTCTTCTAACTTTTGGGATTCCTTGTTTGATACTTGGCTCACGCCGATTCCCTGATGCATTATACCATTCTTTCCCTCTTCCTTAATGCTGACAATAAAGTCAAAGGCTTTCTGATTCAGTTGTCAAGCAACTAGGGGAAGCTGAAGCTGGCAGCTGGTTTTCTCCTTAATGACAGGAAGGAGGAAAAGCTGTCTTATTTGATATTGAATAGAATAGTTGCAGTTGGAAGGGACCTAAAATAATCCTCTAGTACAACTGCAACTGTCTCTTAGGAGTTTACATTTGTCCTTTCAGGATCTTTGTCTTTCCCTATTGTATTCACATCTCTGCTTGTCCTCAGGAGAATGCAGTCTGTTCTGGCCATGTGTATCATGCTCTGTTCTGGCTTTTCCTGGGGTTGATGTCAGGTTCTTTCATGTGAAGTGCTGCCCTTCTGCAGGCACAAGTTTCTGCACCACTGAGTGTTTGGCAGGATTTTAGTTTAGGGTTTTAGTTTCCTGTTGTCATCTAACTGCTGTGATGATGACAAATGCTCCTGCTTTGTCTCACAATACTGACAGATATTTCATTGGTGCCTAAACATACACATGACTGGGTTCAGCACTCATATACATCACTGCCATTTCTGATCTGTCATTCTGTAATGTCTGGAAGCCAGGAAAATGGGTGATTTCCAGATYTATCCCTGTTCCCACTAGCCTGGTCTGTCAGTTTCTTGAAGTTGGAGCTTAAGCTTACACTGAAGCTCAGGCTGGGGGAGTTCGGAAAGGCAGATTAAAGGGGCAGTGATAAAAATCCTTGTGTCTTTTCCRGAGTAACAGGCTAAAAATAAAGGAAGATACAAACATCTATTGAAAACAGAAGATACTTGTTAAATTTAGTGATGCAAGTTATTTATTCAGACAACTTCCTGGGGAGCCTGGAACATYACAAATTGTTTTACTGTGAAACACAGGTGTCTTCTCTCCTTTTTCTTCTTAAAYTTCATTTCTCTAAATGTCATCTGYATTTTAATTTCTAGGAGTTTCTAACAGAGGCATTACCTGTAGGTCTGATTGGAATGAATTGCACCTTGATGAAACAATACATTGAATTTGTTGCAGACCGGTTACTAATGGAGCTTGGGTTCTCAAAGGTAAGAGATGCAATTGCCCCAAATGCTGGCCTGCCARTGCAGCCCAGGAGAGCTGCCAGCACAAAACACTCTTGTCGTGCCAGGCAGCAGGCCATATTTAGTGGATGGACTTTCTGTGAGTGGCAGCTGGAACCACAGCATTAATACATATGGTTCACTGTAAAAAAACAACAATTTAGGCCACTGTTTCCCTTCAGCTGCTCAGCAGATTTGTAATGGGAAATGTAAGCTGTGCTCAGATGCTGCAATGCTTGAAGAATAACAAACATCTTGCACAAGTGGACTTCACTACAGAACCAAACTCCTGGGAGTGGCAGTACTGAATTTGCTTAGATAGGTGTCCATAGATCCTACAGGATATTGTAGCCAGAGGTGGATTGATTTGAAAGAGTGTGACTGTTTTGTTTGTTGAAGTTTTTTTTTTTAAAGCATTATTTCCCTATCAGAATTGCCAGTGTAATAGTGTTTTCCTTYCCCAGGTCTTTCATGCAGAAAATCCTTTTGATTTTATGGAGAATATTTCTCTGGAAGGAAAAACAAATTTCTTTGAGAAGAGGGTTTCAGAATATCAACGCTTTGCTGTTATGGCAGAAACAGTGGACAATGTCTTCACACTGGATGCAGATTTTTGACAAATTGGCAAATGAACGGTGACTGTTTCCCTCTCCTCATCTCCCTTTATGCTGTGAAGTTGACGTAATTTCTTCTTACGGAATCCGAGTCTACTGGGATTTTTTTCTTGGGTTTTCATGTTGTTTGTCAGAGGAGTTAATATATTTCTCTCTGTGTCATTTGAAAAAAAGAGGGGGATCATTTCAAAAAATTATATGGCTGTGTAAAAGAATGGCCATTTTAAGATTCCCTTGACTCATTTGCTGTCAGTGCTGTCTTTAAAAATGACATGGATACTACTACTTTTTTAAGACTTTGAGAGTGTTTTAAGAAAGCAAACTCCTCATGCTAATCTGAAAACCAATGATAAGTTATCACTCCATGTATAAATACTGCTATAAATTATTTTCCTGTTTYCTATTTTCATGTTTATAGGTTTGATCTAGAGTAAAAGCTCTTCTGTTTCATCCTGCTGCAGATAAAGTAATAATTGAATGTGGAAAGACATTAATGAGGTCTCAACTATAGAGTATTATTAAAGCCAGTAATTACATTTGATCTCCCCATTAACCTGGGTTCTGTCTGAAGAAGCTTTTACTCTGGTTGGAAAACCAATGGGCCTTGGTAGGCACTTAATTCAAATACATGTGATTTTTGTCTTACAGCTGTTTCTGAGCAGGTCAATAGACTTTGAGTGGTCCTTAAAAAGGCACACCTGTTAACAGTAGAGAAAAACCACATCCTGTAGTTCTTTGGCTTGTGCTGCCTGTTTTTCCCTGCTCCACTGATCAAGTGCCTTATTAAGTAGTCTGTAGTTGCTGTGTGTTTGTAATCAGCATCTGACACTGAAACAGCCAGCTCTGGGTATTGTCCATCYTCCCCTTCTTGGTTGTACCTGTGCACTGAAGGGGTGAGAATACATATCATTTCAAGGGATTATCCCTTGAGGTGCTACAGMTGTACTACTTGGCCTGTAAGGAAGCACCCAATAACGTTTGGAGGTATGTCAAGTTGTGTGTTTAATGTGAACAGCTGGAACCATTGACACAGAAGAACTTCTGAAAGAAGGTATTAAACCTATCAAAAACAAGCCCTGAAGTAGTATGGAGTAGCAGCATCTTACTAAGGGCTGTTGTTTGGTTTTTGGTTGTGTGCCTGAAAACTGTAATTTTTTGACATCACATGCAGAGAAGGGAGCGATTTTGAAGAATGGCTGAGGTGCTTGGGGTGGAAGGGAAGTGGTTTATCTGCAAATAGATAGGATCATTTTTCCCAAAGATGAAGTAAGTGTACMAGAGCTAGACAAAGGCTTCTGCTTTATTAAACCCAAGGATTTTTCATAATGTTCAGCATTTTGTGAAAGAGCTTTTGTAACTCTTATTGTTGCAAACATCTTGTGCTGCTTTTGATACAGCTGGCATGAGCTGAGCTGACAGCCCRGGGTTATCAGTGATGGGATGGTGTAAGTGTTATTCCCCTGCCAGCCAGATCAGYCATAGTGCTGGGTGCCTGAGTTCCCTGAAACAGTTCCACTGCCTTAGCAGAGTTCCTAGWGAAGAACTGTCCCTGCTGTAAAAATAAGCAACAAAATTGACTTCTTTTGGTCTCTGTAAAAGATTAGGAGTATGTACTGAGCATGGAAATGGGACAGCTATTTTTTTCCTAAAGAACCTGCATCATTTGGCATAAGATACKTGGAAGAGGGCAAAGGGGAACCTGAAGAATACAGAGAAAAGCTGGAACAGTGGCYGTCACATCCTGCAACTGCAAGAGARTTGTGGACTCAGAAAACCCAAAGCCTTTTGGAAATACTGAKTTGATAGGGGAGAAGGAGAAAATACTGTAAATGGGTCTGTTGTTGGAGTAATGGAACTTACTATGTCACTAAAATACTAAAAAGTGTTTGAGTCTTGTGAATTATGATGAGAGTATAAAGAGTATTCTCATATGAAACTGCAATGTTCTCAGGTTCTGTAAATGTATATGGGATACCAAAGTCTGGTACAACAGCTCCCACTCACTTTGTAAAATGTGTGTGTAGTTTCAATAAAATTTGAGTGTGGGGAGGACCATGCCTTCTTTTACAAGTTATGTCTTCGTTGTGAAATCCAAAGTGATAAAATTGGGATGTGACAGAGTAAGTCGATATTCACAGCTTTTGGGTTGTGGGAGAAAGTTATGAATGCTCCGTATATTGTCTTGCACTTTTTGGAGCTCTTGTCTTGCTCTTTTTTGTTCCTGGGAATAGGTTTTGCGGTTTAGTGAGCAAACAGTTGTGTTTGGTTTTTGTTTGTTTGTTTGTTTGTTTTGTTTTTAATTGGGATATTCTGGCTCAAGGAGAAATCTTTTGGGATTCAATGAAGAAATACTCAAAAATGTATTTTCAGTGGGTGTGGCAGCACCCTCGGAGCTGCGGCCAGCCCCTGGCTGGCTGAATTTGTGCTGATCCACTTCACCACATTCCTTGTCTTTGAATAATGAAGGCTTTGAAAGAGCAAGTGTGGCCTCCCTGCCGGCCACCCAGCCTGCCAGAAGAGCATCTCCCTTCTAGCTTTCCCGAGGGGCTGATCTGGGCTGGTTTTTCCTCCTGGTGGAGCCCTTGAGTCAGCAAATATTAATGTTTCTGTCACTATTATCTAGAGCTCCTTCAGGGAACCAGTCAGTGGCGATGCTGATTGTTAATATTCCRTGTGGCTGAGTTTGTGTTTGCAGGAGATACTCATGTGCCTGGGGCCCGCTGCCCACACCTGCAGGATGCTCACACGTGTGTACAGACTCACTGTTTGTGTGTACAGGTGTGCACAGCTGGCACACAGGGATGTGCCTACACACCACACACACCAGCAGAGCTGTTGCCATTCTGACCTTGGCAGGAGCAGTGCAAAGGTCTGAGATCCCTCTGCTCTGAGCCACAGTGGAGACATCCTCATTCTCCAAAGCAGGGCCTGGGGCAAGCCTTGGTGGACACAGGACACAGAAGGCTTTAGATCTCTTTGATGAGATTATTTATAGCTTTGGAAAAAAGTATGATTCTCTGCTAAACAGAATGTTTCATTACTAGGTCTCTAGCATTTTAAGCCCCTTCCATGGGCCTTTACTGGTTTATTTGCTGTGGGGTTAATTTTTTGGAGCTCAGGCTTGCTGTGCTCCTCATAGTATTGAGCAGGACTTGGGTTGTCCTTCAGGAAAGTGGCAGCTGTGGGGCAGCTTCTCCATAAGAAATCTGAATACAGGGACATCTAAACCACCTTTTGATGCACAGAAACTCCCCCAATTTGATGCACAGAAACTCCCCCAATAACTGATTCTCTCTCAGACATCTCAGCTCTGCAGGCAGGAGGAAATCTGCGTTGCTGGGACTATAGGGGAGAATGGGCAGTAAATGAGGCTCCAGGAAAGCAGGGAAGTTTCATTAAAATTTACCTCAGCTGCTGAGTTCCTTTTGTCTAGCTCACTATGCAGAAGAGTTTCCATTAATGAATTTAGGTTCCATTAATGAAGCCAGGTTAGTGAGTAAAGGCTGTTCTAATCTTGGTTGCAGGCTCCCAGGGCGGTGATAAAACCATGGTGCAGAGGAGTACCAATTTAGAGTTGTTACAGCAAGCATTTCTGCCCTGTGAGAAGAGGCTTGCCTATCAGTTATTGATTTATTTTTTCTTTCAATTTGAGGGGAATAGAGTTAGATTATGGCCTATTTGACTGGAGAATTGAATGTGTTTATTAAATTACTTTATTCATAGCATGTGGAATTGCTGGTTTCAGAGCTGGGTGTTGCGATAAGCCCTGACAGAGCTTGGTCATCCTTCTGTCTCCTGCTTAGGGCCATCCCTCCATGGGATAATGGGATCATGTCTGGAGGGGTACTGCAGCTATCCATCCTACAGCCACTGCTGCAGGTGCCTTGTTTTTGGATTAACATCATCATGGGGAAAAAAAAAWTAAAAAAAAAAAGCATTTCTTGGTTCGTTTCTCCAAGATTCCTGTTGTTAAAAGCCCCCTCCATGAAACTGGTCCAGTTTGCTTAGCTGCTCATGAGCAGAACAGGGTGTAAAGCAAAAAAGTGTTTTCCCAGCTTCGAGGGCAGACTGAAGATGTCACCTGCCTTTGGAGCMCCTTTGAAAGGACAGCAGCTGGCCAATGCCACAAGCCCTCAGCCAGACAGAGGAACAAGCTGATGAAATCTTCTTCCTTGTAACCCCCTGTCTTCTTGAGCTCTAAGGCTGTAAGGCAGTGGCCACATGCATGGGTGCAGGAGAGCTGAATATCCTGAATATGGTGCAGGCAGGATGTTTTATGGCTCTCRTTAGGCTGCTGAGGCCAAGCAAGCTCATGGGGAAACGTGTGCTGGTGARATAAATCAGGTATTCTCACCTTAGGACACGGCCTGCTGCAGTGCCTGTTTGCAACAAAGTCACTGGATAGGAGTTCCTCCATATAATTAAAAAATAGTTGTATTTTTAGCTGTCTTGATTTTTTATTTTTCTTCTTTTTTCCCCCACTGACTGATTTTATTCACCTTGGTCCCATTAGATACTTTAAAAACATGAGGATCTTAAGAAGTGTGTTAAAGCTCTTCTGTTACTGAGTATTAATCTTCATTTACTCCTGGTTCTGCCATAGTTTGTGGTATGTTACCTGCATAAGCAAACTTCTCTCTTCCACATCCATTAGGTGGAAGTAGCAGCATTGGCACATGCTGACTGTATTTTAAGCTGAAATGGTGTCACCTAAAGCCCATAAAACAGAGACCAGTTGCTGCCACTTCTGTTTCATTTGTGTCACGGCTGCTAATTTATTTCTCTGTTACTACAGAGTGTAGGTCCAAATTAACAGGGTCTGGTTAATCTCACATCAGCCACACAAAAAGGTCAAATTTTTGGACTAAGAAAGGCAATTTTTTCCTCCAAACATTTATCTTTGCTTGTGAGGCTGAAAAACCAAAGTTTGCCACAATTGCACACACATCAGTGGTGGTGAACACAAATACTGCTTGTGCAGATGGATGGCTGTGGCTGGGGTGAGAAGCGTTTTCCATAGACCTCAAAGGTGGGAAGGCAGATCCTTACACAGGATACTGGTGAGTACAGAAGCACAGAATCATAGGATGGTTTGAGTTGGAAGGGATCTTACAGATAATCCAGTTCTGATTCCCCTGCTATGGGCTGGGACATCTTCCACTAGACCAGATGGCTCAAAGCCTCGTCCAGCTTGGCCTTGAACACTTCCAGRMTGCTTCAYTTGGCAACCTGTTCCAGTGCTTYGCCACCCTCACAGTAAACAATTTCTTCCTAATACCCATTTCAAGACTACCCTCTTTCAGTGTCATGTGGAGCCCCTGGAAACAC